GGAAAGAACAACTTCTATCACTGAGGCCTTTAAAACAAAAACATTTTTTTTACGGAACACTTTGGAGTTCAACTAATGCAGTCATTGAAGAAAGAAGACATTAAGATTTGACTCATTACATCATGTAAAAACAGACAGAAAGTTAGCAACCCATTACCTTTCTCTTTGTCATTAAGTTACCCATACTTCATGCAGAATTTATTCTGTGCGATGTGTCTTGTCAATAACAAGTAAAAGATGGGAGCTGACTGGTTGAAGGACATGGAAGGGGATGGATGGGAAGGGGAGGAGAAGTTCCCGTCACAGTGATACGATGATTAGAAGATGGCCAATAAAATTTCAACTTACCAGACACAACTAAAAACAAAAACAAAACAAAAAGAAAACATGGAATAAATAAAATTGAATAGACATGAAACAAAGCAAAGAATAAAGCAAAATAAAGAAAATAAATAAAAGGACCCTTGGTAAGAACCTTAGAAAGCACACACATATTCCAATATATGAAAAATGGGTTTCAAATGTTGAACCACCTATTTTTTATTTGATTCTTAAGTCTATTAAATGCTGAAAGGAGGCTGTAGAGGAAAATGGATAACAGACTGAAAAAATGGTCAGTCAGCCTGGGTTCTACTCCAAGCCTTTCCAACGAACTGTTGTATAACCTTGAGTAAATTTTTTTTTTTTTGTATTGTCATTATTTCTTTGCATCAAGAGCTTTCCATGGTAAAATTAACTTGAAATTTTCAGTAAATATCCATCTGCAACACTGCTGAAATGGGACAGTGACATTTACACCCCTTCTAAGGCTTCCAAACATCTACAAATGGAAAACACTTTTCTGAGGCTAATAGCCATTATAAATGAAGATTATTAAAAAAATTAATAATATGCTGAGGCATTTAGCTCACACACTAATCTCTTTAGTATAAGATAGTTGTATCAAGGTCATAATGCTCACTATTGAACTGCAAATGCAAACTAAATCACAACTAAAATTAATGTGCTAAGATTCTTACCCCTTTTCTTCCTCCTCCCACCCCAAACCTAAATTTCACTAAAACATTAAAACCCAGCTATTTATTGCCAAATACCAGATTTTTCAATAGAAATTGTCTACTAAATTATCTAAGATTAATTTTATAGTTGAAAATTTTCAAAAACATTCAAATGGCATAGATCCTGGCAGATTAATTTTGCTTCTAAAAGTAAGGCATGTTAGAAAGCATTCCAACGACACTAATTGAAAGAACAGGTTGAAAATAAAAAAGTAAAAATCATATACTTCAAAAATACACACAGAAACTGACGAAAAGACTCAGTCAAAAAGGGTAGTCCAAAAATACACCATTTTTAAAAAGCACGTTACAAATACCAAGGCCTTCAAAACTTTGGTCTTACCGCTCTGAGAGCAAAACAACTATTGTTCAGAAGGATACACTTTCATACCGAGGAGATAAGCACCTGCAATACACCATCCACTAATAAAACACATGGATGAAACTAATAATACCCAGTTTGCCAGCATTCATTAGGCATTAGGAATACTGGCTTACTGTTCAAATAAATACAAAGGACTCCAGGTGTATTATGAAAATGAAGCAGAATCAGATATAATATTGGAATTTGGTTCATGTTGAAGCCAAGAAGCTGCAACTGAGTGTGCCAAAACCAGATCATATAGGGAATTGGGGTTTTATGTTATTAGAGGCATTTTTTTTTTTTAGGAAATAATCCCAAACAGAGGAAGTAGAAATTACAGTTTTCCAAAGATTTGAGTTTCAAAATTAAGGGAGTATTCTGGATGTACATTAGCCTTCTTTAAGTGTGTGGGTTTCATATTTCTCAGAGAACATGAGTGATCTTCTTAAGACAAAATCAGTGTGGATTATTTTGCTCAGATTATCTGCAAATCTACAATTTGTAAGAGGACTTGCCAAGAAAAGATACATAGGAATTCCTGAGAGAAATATGCTCATCCTCTAGACTCAGCTCCTAGCTATTCTTGACTGTGTGTAAGTATATTACCCATAACCACTCCTTTTTAACTGAAAAGCTCTCTACTAAACTTGCAATTAGTTTGACCTGCTCCGGAATTAGAAATGCTTCTTCATAAAACACAACTTATATTCCACATGAAATAGCCTGATAAGAGACTTAATGGGATGCAATTCTTGCACAGAGGACGTGACTCTAAATTACCAATTTTCAATTACTCAGGTAGTGCCAAAAAGATAAAAGTTCAGCCTTCTTGGTAGCAATGCAAAGCTGCCAAGGCTCTCTACTAAAATCTCACTTGAAAATTTATAACAGATAGATAGAAATCTTAGTTGCTCAATTACGTTTCTACAAATTAAATTAACTTGTAAGTGCTGAATTTCCCCTTTTCTATTTACCAGACATTTTTGATATTGAAGGTCAAAAACAACCCTGCTGAGCAAATGTATTTTTTTACCCACCTGTAAAAACAGAAGGGATACAGATACATGACACATAATACATACTGATACATGATATATAAATAAATCCCTGTAGAAATAGGGCATCAGAGCGGCTGCAAATCTGCGGCAAGGGCACAGGGTAAAATTTCATAGAAAAATGTAAATGGTTCTGTCAGAGGGACATCATGTGGTTTAAAAGAATAATAGCAACAACTACAACAAAGATGACTTTCTTAGTTTGATTTACTTCC